GCACACACGGTCACCACGGCGGTGGCGCGCTGCTCGGGGCCGAGCCTCTACACGTTCCACAGCCCACTTCCACCCCGGGCGGCAGAACCAGCGGGCGGGGCTGAGACAGGGTCTGTCCCTCCCTGTGACCCAGAGCGGGTGCGGAACACCCTGGGCACCCTGCCCAGCAGGTGGGCACTGGGAATGCCAGGGCAGAGGTCTGAGCCCTATGGGCTCTGTAGTTGCACAGCCTCCTCCCAGGGCCACGCCTCAGCCATGCCATCTCTTTAGGATGGCGATGGGAATAATACCGACCCTGAGAGAGCAGAAGGATGGGGGCGGGGGGTCCCCTCTTCCTCTCCATCCCGGGCAGATGCTCAGGCCGCCCGGGGCCCGGAGTGTCTGGCCATCCTGTTCATTTGTGAACATGTACCCGGCCGTGCAGGGAAGCGGAGCACTGAGGTCCTCGTGCATGTCATCTCCTCACTAACCCGGCCCACGCACTGCTGCCTGCCTTCCAGGGCGGGGCCGGGAGGACTGGCCCCCCTGGCTGCCAGGAGGCCCTGCATGTCCGTGGGCCCCTGCCCTTGCCTCTCCCTGAACCTGGCAGTGCCATGGACCCAGGAATCGGGCTGTGTCCTTGCACCGGGAGCAGAGGGGAGGGAGGCGGGCATGGAGCGGGGCAGAGCCCACCAGCCTGGGGTCCACGTTGGAGCCTCCTGACTGTCCTGCTTGGCTAGAGCCAGGCCCTTCCCAAGAGCTTGTCAAGGGCCTCTCGGGGAAGGAGTCGGGTCTGGGTTTCGTTTTTTAAAATAAAATAGATATTATATTGCCAAGACGTGTCACTGGCCCTTTTTGACCAGGGTGGGGTGGGGGACCTCCAATCCCTCTCCTCAGGCCCCTTGACCCTCATTCTTCGTTCCACAATGTTCCACCAGCCGCCGGTGCCAACACTGGAGCCAGAGTCCCTGCGCCCGGGGCACTCGAGCCTGGAGGAGCCCAGGCCTGGGAGTTCCACGGCCTGACCTTTGCCCTCTCTCCCGTTTCCCGCAGGGGCCGGGGTGGGGTGGCCCCAGTCCTAGGCAGGTCTCCACTACCAGAAAGACACTCCTGCCTCCTGGCCTCCCAGCCATGGGGGTAGATGCCAGCCACTCGGGTAAACCCGGGAGAGTTCACGCTGTTCCCGAGGCCTCTTGTCGAGCTGCTGCCCCAGGGGCTGGCTAGAGGATGCCAAGCCTACCAGGCTGGGGAGCCGTTCGCCACAGCCACCTCCAGGGCCTCACACACCGGAGGAAAGGGGTAGACTCGGGAGGGGGTGGGTGTGGCGGCCCCTGAGGCAGGGTTCCAGGCATCGCGGCTCTGCCTCCGGTTTTGACACTGACACCAGCGCCTAGGGTGATTCAGGGTGGCCCTGGCAGGAGAGAACTGCTCTGAGGGCAGAGATCAAGGT